GTGAGAGGTGTCTTTAAGACGTTGTCCTCTTTTTCTTGCCGTCAGTCTTCTTTTACTAAGCACAGAGGCCATAGATCACTTCTCTCTCTCTCTCTCTCTCTCTCTCTCTCTCTCCCCCCTGAGTCAGTGATTCTCAACCTGTGGGTTATGACCCCTGTGGGGTTGAATGACTCTTTCGTAGGGGTCACCTAAGACCATCAGAAAACACAGATACTTACATTATGATTCGTAACAGTAGCAAAATTACAGTTATGAAGTAGCAACAAAAAGTAAGTTCATAGCTGGGTTCACCACAACACGAGGAACCATATTAAAGGGTCGCAGCATTAGGAAGAATGAAAACCATTGTTCTAAGTTACAAGATCTACTTATTCCTAATTTCTTTCTGATTGCTGGTTTTCCTGCATGTTTCCTGAATGGAACACACGCTGAGGACTAAAAATAGAAAGTCTTTCCCCAGTATGTTGTCATTTCTGTGCAAAGGGTGGCTGTGGGGACAGGAGGAGAATAATGTGTAAAAGTTGGTTGGTTAATTATCTAGCTGTAAAGTGTGCAGCCTGACTGCTTGACAGCTCTTTGATGTTTGCATTTTTCATTACTTGGCTGCTAACTTTGCTTTTAGAGTTGTGTCTTAGCATGGAGTCCATTTTACAGAACTACATTATTTTTTTTTCAGATGCTCATATTTCTGACATGTCAGAGAAATGATTGATTTGACCTGACACCACTATAAAGCTTAAGGTTTGATGAATTCAAGACATGCTAAAGATACATTTTTGCGATGTCTCTTAAAACTCATCTCCAAGCTTTTCTCTGTTTGGTTCATGTAATTCTTTCCGGTAGTAATTCCTATTCCCAGAGCTATACCTAGCTCTCTGAACACCAGGTCTCCATATCTAACTTGAATCTGTTCTTTTCTAGAAGCCCCCATTCTGTCCAGGCCAGCCTGGCTCACTAAATGTTTGGGGCTAAAAATATGTGTCTTTATAGTTTTTTTTTCCTGCTAATATATGCGGGAGTTTTACATTTTGGGTCTTACCACTGTCAGCTTGCCATCTCCACCCCACACTTGTATTGCAGCCATGATAGATTTGCTCTCCATGCACCCATACTTCAGTCCCTTACTGGGACATACCATTTATTCTCAGCCTTTAAACAAGCAAAACTGAAGACTGAACAAAAACCTCTCCCAAATGTGTCACTGATACCCAGCCAAGAGTAAGTCCACCTTCATTCTCATCACCTCTGCTCGCCTACCTTTTCTCCTCTTTAAGAGCTGGAAGGCTCTGCTGAGCACCTGGTCCTGGCTCACACCTGTGCTGGCCGAATTTATATCCCTTTCATCTTTTATGATAGAGGCACCTGCTCTAGGTTCTGCCCTGCATTGTGCCCGATTTCCTCTCAGGCCTATTTTCCGTAGTTAACTGAATGAGAGTATCTGTGGTTTTGCCACTAGGTATTTGCAGTCCGTTTTGAAATCAATACAGTAAATACTCATGGTTTCTTTTTAGTGACTAGAGAAAACATATGTATAAAAATAGATGTAGGTTGTTTAGTCAGGGTAACAGGAGGGGATAAATGCATTTGTCTTTATAGTCTTTCTTGCCTATTACACATGGAAAGAAAGTGAGTTGTTTTTTGTTTTTTTTTTTTTTACATTTTGGATTTGTAAATGATTTTTTTCAATTTGAAATGAATTAGTGTAAAAAGAAATTCATTCTAATTGCTTTAGAATTTGACCTGCCATTAACAAAAAAATGAGAAAGTCACCACTCTAGTAATCTCTAGCCAGCAAGGACTTGAGTGACTGTCACGTTTTGATTTTTAAAATGTAATGGTTCATTCTGATGTTTCTTGAGAAGCTGGGAGCAGTGTCACATGCCTCTAATCCCAGCACTTGGGGAGGCAGAGGCAGATTTCTATGAGTTCAAGACCAGCCTGGTCTACAAAGCAGGTCCAGGACATTCAAGGCTACACAAAGAAACCTTGTCATAACAAACAAACAAATAAACAAAGATGTTTCTTGAGAAAATCAGAGTCATCATTATATTTTGTTTTGTTATTGTTTAATTTCTTGTGTCCTGGTGACTTCCTGGTTTGGATTTTATCATGGCAATAACTAGCAGCCACAGGATGAGAAAAGGAACTAGTAACTGATCTAGTCTTCCAAGCAACTCTAGACAGTTATACCTGCACATTGTCTTTAAGATAGAGGGACCCTGTCTTACTGCATCTTAGTTAAGTTTGGACAAAGTAACACTTTGATCACATGGAAACCAAGCAAAAAGAACAGAAATGATAATTTAGAAAAATTGAAAACAAAACATGTAAAACAGAGACAGAACAGGGTTGTGGAAATCTGTTTGTCAGCTGATGGCCTGCCTCAGCCACTCTGAATTCATGGAGCTCTGCCAGGGACAGATCCCAGACTCTAGGTTTGTTATTCTCTAGTTCACTTTGAAAAAAACCTGCTTTTCAGTTTTTCTGTTTGTTCTTGAGTGTGTTCCAGGAGAAGGGGAGGTGCATTAGCCTAACCAGCATTGACTTGAAGAAAAATTAGCAGAAATTACCTTGACACTTGGAATTGGCAGCCTGAGAATCAGGATTTGGAATTTGCTGGTTAACCATCCCTGGGGCCGTTTTTTCCTAAAATCATTGTCTAAGTTGACAGCTATTCAGTTGCAGAGGGATGGCACTGCAGCCTTTTTAGTGGATATGAGGAATTTGGCAAATACAGTCAACACAATAGTCATTTCTTCCTGATTGACAGACCCAGCTCAGGGTCCAACTAAGTATCTTCACCATGCAAACAGACTGGCAGTTCCTAAGCACAGAAAAATGAAGGCTGAAGTCGCAAACCAGCTTTTGAAGGCATGTAAACACGAACATTAAGAACATGATGACTATAACAAGTGTCTGAATTAAGACGTTAATTGTACTTAAGAACCATTCGATTTGTTCCTGTTTTGTCTATCACAGGAGCAGGGCTTGTCCCTGTGATGAATGCTGAGCTGTCTTCTCTCAGACAACTTGGCATCTAATGTCTCATTTTTCTACTTCAGGATATGTCACTGTGGTCATTCCTCTGAGTCGAACATTCTTCTACACAACTACCAGTGTATCCAAAATTAACTTTCCACAGAACAAAATTCCTCTCCAAAAGCCAGAGCCCTCTTTATCTCTCTTATATGAAATTCTAATACTTATTATACCCTTTCTGCCACAATCCTTAGAACTGTCTTGTCAAGACCTTATGAGTCCAAGCTTACAGAGCAAGGAGAAAAATTAGATGTGCTTGGGGCCTAATGAGTAGTCGTCAAAGCATGGGGAAGGGGTAACATAAAAACAAATCAAAACGAAACAGAGACAGGCAACCCAGAAAGTGCCACTTGGAGAGTGCTCAATGGAAAGGGCTCTTGGTGGCCCTGCAGAGAGACTGTGTCCCCTGAGGCTACTACCTCTGTGACGTCACTGACTGGTCTCTACTGCTAACCATCACTAGATAGGATGTCAGATAATGATGCCTATCAGAATGAGCTTGCCCTCTGTTTAAGTTCACAATTGTCCTAAAGTAGATAATCTTACTCTAGGACTTCTTCATTGTGGTAAATATGCATGACACAAAGCCCACCTTTTTAATGTTTAAGTGTATATATGGCCTTAAGTATATTCACATTATTCTGCCACCATCCACCACGCCCCATCTCCAGAAGGTTTTCATTATTCTACATAGAAATTCTGTTCCTATTAAACACTGACACCTCTGTTGCTACTCCCTGTAACCACTATCCTTTCTGTGTCTGTGACGCTAACTCTTGCAAGTACCTCATGTGACTAGAGTCATGCAATATTTATTCCTGCAGGCCTTGCTTGTTTCACTTTAAAGTTCATCTGGGTTGTAGCATGAATCAGACTGCATTAATTTTAAAGGTTGAATAATATTCCATATTATTGTGTATGGCTATGGCACTTTACTTCTCTGCTGATTTATTGGTTGACAAAGGTTGCTTTGATTGTTGGAGATGATGCTGTACTAACGTGGGTGTTGATGGAGGACCTGAATTTGGGATTTGGAATCTGTTCATGCTCTAATTCTTTTGAATATATACCCAGAAGAGAAATTGCAGGATCATATGGTGTCCTATTTTATTTTTTATTGTATTATTTTATATGCCTGAGTGTTTTTCCTACATGTATGTCTATGCAGTACTCTCAGATGTCAGAAGATTGGATCCCTAAAACTGGGACTACCAACAGTTGTCAGCTGCCACGTGGCTGCTGGGAATCAAACCTGGGCCCTCTGGAAGAACAGCCAAGTGCTCTTAACCTCTGAGCCATCTCTCCAGCCCCACCCCCCAATTTTAATTTTTTTTTTAATGTACATTGGTGTTTTGTCTGCATGTGTGAGGGGGTCAGGTCACCTGGAACAGAAGTTACAGACAGTTGTGAGCTGCCATGTGGGTGCTGGGATTGAACCCGGGTCCTTTGGAAGAGCAGACAGTGCTCTTAACTGCTGAGCCATCTCTCCAGCCCCCAAGTTAAAATTTTTGAGGATCATATTCAAGGAATTTTAAACATACTAATCTGTTAAATGAAAGCATTATTCGGTGATTACTTCATATGTGCCATGTGATATGTAGGCATCGGAAAAATGGAAATAAAACAAGAGAGAAACTCTCCAAAAACTGCCAAGGACTCAGGATAAAGCTGTTGTCAACAAACACACATGTAGTTAGCACTTACATGCTGTATTTAATTCTGTTAGAAGTATATGAAGAATACTCTGGAAAAACGCCATAGCAGCAATGGTGTCCAGTGTTTCTGAAGTTAACTGTCTCCGTGGATGCTGCCTTAGATGAATGTTCTACCAGGTTCTGGCTAATGGTGTTTGACGCGGTGAGGTGCCCGCGTGAGTCTGTGTTGTACGCTAGACTTACTTAGTTCAATGCATAGATTGCGCTCTGCGGCCTAATTTGTCCCCCTTGTGCTTTCTCTCCTAGTGGTTTCTAATCGCCAACCGATCTTACAAAGTCAGTGCTGCCAGCTCCTTTTTCTTCAGTGGTGTGTTTGTTGGCGTTATCTCCTTTGGTCAGCTTTCAGATCGCTTCGGAAGGAAAAAAGTTTATCTCACAGGTAACTGTCACCGCGTGGGTGCGCAGAATCAGCCGCTTTACCTCCCTGAGACTCATAAGGAAATCATAAGGGTGTTATTTCCCTAAAGTTCTCTGTGAGTCCGCTGGTGGACAGAGAGCTTCTGTTTGTGACATTGGCGAGAGGCCACGCTGCAGCCAGCGATGACTCTGGCCAGGTGGGTTTCCGGAACAAGCTCACCTGGACAAGGCCAGATACTTTTGTTTAAAACATTTTTGTTGACAGTGCTTTCTGCAACCCCCAAATTGTAATCTCTGCCCTGCTTCTAAAGAGAGCAGTGAAGGATCGTCACAGCCTTCCCATCCATTTCCCTGCATTCTTCTGTGTTGATTTATTTCAAATGAGCTCTATAAGACGTGGCATAGCTGTCTTGACAGGACGAGTATGAGTGAGGATTTTCAATTTCTAGCACTATTATGAATAACTGAAAATGGTGTGGGATCGACAGAAATTGTAAAACAAAGAAAGCAAGCTTTGGTTTTTTCTTCATAGTTTTCAAGGCAAATTGTTAAAAAATAAAATAAAAAAATAGCTCAGAACATTTAAGTTTACAAAGGTTTATTTCACAAACTGATGAATACAATTTATTATTTTCTTCAAATGCTGTTTTGCTTCTGGGTCATTGAATATTGTTCCTCTCTTCCCAGGTTTTGCTCTTGACATCTTATTTGCTATCGCAAATGGATTTTCCCCCTCATATGAATTCTTTGCAGTAACTCGTTTCTTGGTGGGCATGATGAATGGAGGGATGTCCCTGGTGGCCTTTGTCTTGCTAAATGAATGCGTGGGCACCGCCTACTGGGCACTCGCAGGTACTGCTTCACTTTGTGCAGCTCTGGATGTACGTGGCTTAGCCAGTCTGAAAACACACTTGGAGGTGAGGCATTTTATCTCTGCAGATTGAGTATTCCTTACCCTAATGCTGGGGACCGGAAGCATTCCAGATTCCAGAATTTTATGTATAATGACATACCTTGGAGAGGTGGCCCAATTCTAAACACAAAACACACTTGCATTTCATAGCTGCTTTATGTGCATAGCCTGGAGGTGATGTTATGCAGCATTTTTAGGATCTCTATTTTGGGTTCAAACCAACGTGTCTAAGGTAAGATATGGATTTTTCCTCTTGAGGAATTGTGTTAACTCTCAAAGTGTTTAAGATTTTGGAACGTTTGGGATTTGGGGTTTTCCTATTCGGGATGCTCAACCTGCATCAGACTTGCTTTCTCCAGTGTGCTCTTCAAGGCATCCGAGATCGTGCTGTTCATAGGCCTTGGAAGAAGTCTCCTCTGGGCCTGTCTCACAGACAGTGAGGTGGCCACCCGCCTCATGACCTCTCTGCATATGGCTGTGGCCAGCATCCCATTTGCTCAGAACAGCATTCATCACTTTCTCCCTTACACTGGGAAATAGTACAAGGACAGGAAAGTAGGAACTCTTTCACCTGAGGCCTCTTACTGCATCCTATTGAATTCTGTTTCATGGCTTTCCTCAGTTTTGCTGTTCTCTCTAATCAATAGAGGGCACCGTTGTAGCATTTCTTACTGATGCTAAAATTCTAAATCGAGGCCATATGTTGTATTATTTTTAATAATTCCAGCATCCTCACAAGACCACACACACAGTAAAAATATTTAATTTTTTTTACATTTATTTAGTTTGTGTGTATGTGTGTGTTCACATGCACATATGCCCATATGCTCATGGTCAGAGAACAACTTGCAGGAGTCAGTTCTCTCCTTCCATCATGTAGCACCTGGGGATTGAACTCAGATCATCAGGCTTGACAGCAAGCCCCTTTACCCACTGAGACATCTCACTATCCCAGGAATTATCTTTAAAGGCTGCCTTAGGTGAGGTCTCTATGATAAAACACAAATCAGCATTGGTAGGAAAGGGTTTATTTCTCTTTACTTCTGTAGTCTATCATCCAGGGAAATAAGAAAGGGAACTCAAGGCAGGAACCCGGATTCAGGAACTGAGGCAGAGACTATGGAGGAGTGCTGTTTATTGACTTGCTCTTTATGGCTTCCTCAAGCAATTTGCTTATGGCACCCAAGACCACCACCCCAGGGGTGTCACTGTCCATCAGTCATCAATCAAGAAAACGCACCACAGGGTAGCCCATGGACCAGCCTTGTGGGAGCATTCTCTTAGTTGAGGTTCCCTCTTTCAAAATGACTCTCACTTGTGTCATATTGACGTACAACTAGCCATCATAATGCCTGGGGGCTAAGGACATGGCTCAGTGAGGAAAATATTTGCTGATTTCAGATTCCCCAGCACACATATGGGAAACCAGGCACGGTGGTGTCTTTCTGTCACTTTTTCTAGGGAAGTGGGAACAAGTAGAGCCCTGGGGCCTACTGACCAGCTAGACTAACTGAATTACATGGTTCTGGTTCAGTGAGAGACCCTGTTTTAAACTGTAATAGAGGAAGACACATAGCAGCCTCTGGCCTCCACATGCCCAGGCACAGGCACCTGCAGGACACACACACACACACACACACAATGTGACTTCAAATATTATCTTAGGAGAGTGCCTATGTCTAAACCTCTACCTTTTAGATTATAGAGTTGTACTGATAATCTTTTTTCATTAACTTGTCAGTCATTGGTACAAACAATATTTTTGAACAAACATGGGAACAAAATTGGCCTTATGATTGATAGAAATGTATCTAAATGTCAATATTATGAGATAATTCCATTTCTACTCTTTAGAACTAATTTACTAATTTTTAAAAACTTTTTTGATATTATAATTACAGCATCTCTCCCTTCCCTTCCCTTCCTCCAAACCATCCCAAATGTCTCTCCCCACCTCTCTTCAATTACCCTCTTTTTTATTAATTATTATTGTGTGCATATATGTAAATGTTTATACATATGCATATATATATGTGTATATATATATTTATATATATATATATATCCCTAAATATAACCTGATCAGTCCATTTAATGTTTGTTATAGGTATGTTTTCAGGGCTGACCATTTGGTACTGAACAACCAGTTGGCATGTTCTTCCCTAAAGAAGACCTCCTTCCTCCATCTCAGCCTTGCTCGGTTACCTGTAGTTATTTCTGAAAGGTTGAGGCCTCGTGGGCTCTTCCCTGTCCATTTTGGCATGTCCACTGCTATTGTCATTTTTCAGCTCACCTTTAGGCAGCAGTAATGTTGGTGAGGCTTCATGGCTGTAACTTCTAACATTTTTAGAAGACACACTCTCACAGAAAACCCCCTGATCTTCTAGCTCTTAAAATCTCTTCACCACCTCTTCTGCAGTGTCCCCTGAGTCTTAGTTATGAAAGTGTTTTGTAGATGTATCCACTGGACTAGGCTTCACAGTTCTGCATTTTGGTTGTTGGTGTTTCTTCAGTAGTTGTCTGTGTCGGCCACAAAGAGAAGTTTCCTTAATGAGGGGTGAAGACTATTCTTATAGGTCTATATAAGGGCAAATATTTATAGATTATTGTTATGGATTATGTTGGCTCAGTAAATTAGTGGTTGTGGAGTTTCCTCTAATAGCTGTCTTCACTAGTATAGGTTTCTAGTGCCAGGCATGGTTTCCTTCTTGTTCAGCACATTTTAAGTTTAATTAGAAGTTGGTTATATCCAAGGTATGTGTGCCACTACTGAATAACTAGGGTTATTGCGCCAAGCTGGTTGTTGATATAGTTCATTAGGGTCATAGCTGGGTAGGAATGTTGGTTGTCTTCCCTGCTTTAGAAGCTTGCAGTCATGAAGATTGTTTTAATTAGGGGAAACTGAGAAAGTAAGCAGTTTCAGAGAATTCTAAGGACAATGAGAAAAATTAAGTAATGTAATGGGCCAGATAGTTATTTCCAGAGTAGCTATGTTAAATAGGATGGTTCTAGAAAACCTCAGTGTACGTGTTCGATTTAAGATTTGAATAAGGAGGAAGGGCCTGAGCATATGCAATTCAGGAGAAGAAATTCCAGCAGTTGGAATGGCAAGGACCAAGGCCTGAGGCAGGGGGAAGCTTCTTCAAAGCTGAAAGATGACTGTGGTGCAATAGAAAAAAGACAAAGGAATGGGTGATAGCGAGAGGAATGGGTAGGGGATGGGCCAGGCGTGCCGATCCCAAGGTGAGCTGCGTGAACAATCTGGATTTTTATTCAAAATGTAGAGGAAGGCCATGGGGCTTATGTTACATAAAGGAGTTATGGGACCTCACACAGAAAGATTGTTCTTGTGGGCATATGATACCAGAGAAGAGAAAATTAAAAATGAAGGGGATTTTCAAGAAGTTGTGAGGTTGGCTGTGTGAACCCAGTGATGGTTCAGACAAGGTGGGAGCTGCAGCAGAGAAGGAGAAGGGAAAAAGGAGTTATATTTGGGTGGCCATGACCTGGAGAGGCATCAGCAGAGATGGGGAAGAGAGGCCTAAGGGAGGCTTCAGGGTTTCGGTCTGGAAACTGGGCCAGTCACCGGCACCTTTTTCATAGTAAGGTCAGAACCAAATACCTGTTGCAGACACTCAACTCTAGACAGTACAAATAGAGAGGGAAAGCATTTGCTCAACATTTCCTGACAGTGCAGCTAGCCTAGGGGATGTCTGAAACCTGGAAGTTGGTGCTTCTTATCTGTGCTGTCCATCCTCTCTGGAAACATTCTCAGCCAGTTGAGACCCAGCAGCTCTAAGCACAGTGTTTGAAATGACAAATCCTGATTAGTCCAGCCAGGGTTATCTTACAGCTAAGGGAACCCTGATTGGCAGTACCCACTGGAATGGCATGGGAGTGATAAGGTAGAATCAGTTCTTCAGTACGCTGTGGTTGAGGGGTTCTTGAAATTAGAAAGGAAAATGAGGGAGAAAGTATTCTGAAGTGGTACTCACAGCCAGAGGCTTCGCTGTCCTCACCCTGATTAATAGATAAGAGAGAGTCAACCCAACCCCAGATTGTAATAGGACACTGTGGCAGCTAGCTGCAAGTGTCAATTTGATTGTGTCAGGAAATACTTTAGTGAGAACACTCTGGGGCATGACTATGATAGAGATTTCCGAGACAGTTAACTGAGGAGGAAAGACCCACCCTGAAGAAGGTGGCACCATCCTATGGCTGAGGGTGCAGACTGAACAAAGAGGAGAACAAAAGATAACTGCGTGCCAGCATTCACCTCTCTGCTTCCTGACTGCCCAGACATGAACAAGCAGCCCCACACTCTCACTGCCATGCTTCTCCACCATGAGAGAAGCCCTCCTAGAGTGTAAGCCAGAACAAACCCTCCACCCTGAAACTGCTTTCTGTCAGATGCTTCATCCCAGCAAGGAGAAAAGTAGAGAGCCTACAAACATAGCACGCGTATAACAAGCATTCTGTTCTGGAAACTACTAACAATGAGAGCTGTCCTTTGAGACCAGTGCTGCTCTGATTTCAATGGTGAGAAGACAGAAGTTCAGGAAGAATTACTGACTTGCCCATAATCACACTGTGGTTCAGTGGTTCTCAGCCTTCCTCACACTGCGACCCTTTAATACAGTTGCTCCTTTAATACAGTGACCCCAAGCATAAAGTTATTTTTGTTGCTACTTCGTAACTGTATTTCCTGCTGTTATGAGTGATAATGTAATTATCTAATATGCAAGACACCTGATACGCAACCCTGGCGAGCCACTGCTGTAGTATTTGGTAGAACTGGGGTTTAAATTTGACTCCTCTGAAACCAGCCTATTTCCCCCCCTGACTGCTTGTCTGTGTTGGCAGAGGTGAATACTGAGTGACAGGGGAGCCTTACCCTTGGAGCCCAGCCAGGTGTTATTTGATGCACTATAATGAACCTGCAAATAGATATTGATTGTCTCAGATTTCCAGGGGACTCCATATTGTCTCTGTCCCCTCGCTTGCTGAATTGTGCTTTCATGATGCTGAACACACACACACAGTATACAAGTCATCATGTTTTGTCATACAGTGATACATTATGAACAGTGATCAAAGAAACTATTTGCTTATAAGATTATCATAGAAAAAAATTAAGACTGAGAACAGCAAATCTCATCTAAAAACTGCCATTCCAGCCAGGCAGCTCCAGCTCCAGAGGTGGAGGCAGGCGAGTCTCTGAGTTCGAGACCAGCCTGGTCTACAGAGCGAGTTCCAGGACAGCCAGGGCTACACAGCAAAACCTTCTCTTAGAAAAACAAAACCAAAACAAACAACCAAAAGAAACCTCACACTGCCTTTCCATAGAAAGAAGATGCAAATGGCCCAGAATGCTGGCGGACCTTGTACAGGGCCTGGCTTTGCCAGATACAGCACGTGGTGGTATAGACAGCTTCCCCTAACCCTCAAGCTATTTTATTGCTTCAGTGCGTGGTTAATAATGGAACACATTATTCTCAACAAATAGCTCAATGTCCTGCCCATAGTGATAATAGCAGTTACAGAAAGTGTGCCAGAGATACAGAGTTTGCAGGGACATCAGACAAGCTGGTACATTTAATCCTCATCTCAACACTTTTTTTTGTGTTTTGTTTTAAAATAGCTTCCTTACAATTCTGTGGTTGATATTTTTCCGTTAGTGTTTTGACAAAAATCCAGGCTTCAAACAGCTTATATTCTACTTGGGAGATGCAGGTGAGAAACAAGAAAATGCAAAGTGCCATACATCTGATGGTGATAAGTTAAGTGGAGAAGTGGGATGGGGGATGGGAGTGGTCTAAGATAATATTTTCATGAATTATCTCTGTGATAAAGATTAATACCCAGGGGGCTGGCAAGATGGCCTGGTGGGTTAATGCGCTCTCTGACAAGCCTATCTGAGTCTGATCTGTGAAACTCCCATGGTGGAAGGAAGGAACCAGCTACCACAAGTCATCTTCTGACTTCCTGAAGCTCACTGTGGCACACGCAAGCACACACACGTAGACACATAGAACAGAATAAAACCTCTCAAAAAGATCAGCATTGAAGGAACTGCATGACCTGAGAGCCACATCACCCCAATTAAAAAATATCTCCAGCCCAGGTGCAGGCAGAAGGCAGTGCAACACCCAGTACAGAAAACATTTGACTTCCATCTTGTCCACGCATGGTACATGTTTTTGCTGCCCTTCCTCCATTTCCACAGACTTTTGGCTCCTCTTGGGTGCTTATGTAGTCATTCTCTATCTTCTGCCTTTCACACTGAGTGGGGCAGGGCTGATGTCTCACAAGAAGGACGTGCACACTGACCAGGGCTGGAAAGGGCACGGTGGGTGATCTTCTCCAGTGACAATTCTCTTTTTCCTGCATTAGGATCGATTGGCGGTCTCTTCTTTGCCGTTGGCATCGCACAGTGTGCCCTGCTAGGATACTTCATCCGCTCCTGGAGGACCCTAGCTGTCCTGGTCAACCTTCAGGGAACAGTAGTCTTTCTCTTATCTTTGTAAGTAGTCTTTTCTCCTTGAAATTTTTGCTCCATAAATAGGGATATCTTGGAAAGATGTGAGCAAGTAAGCGAGCAGCATTACTTCTTTCAGGAGCTTGCCTGAAGTGAATTCTGGGAAGAGCTAAACCACAAACGTTCAGTTCTCGTCAGCTCCTTGAAAAGAGAGATGCCTGTTACTTAGTTCAGAATGCAGGTATCTCATGTTTAACCTCTCAGTAGACTGCATTTGGCCTTCAGAGTATTGGAAAATTCTCTTTCCTTCTTTCTTTCTTTCTTTCTTTCTTTCTTTCTTTCTTTCTTTCTTTCTTTCTTTCTTTCTTCCTTTCTTCCTTTCTTCCTTCCTTCCTTCCTTCCTTCCTTCCTTCCTTCCTTCCTTCCTT